CTTTGTGGTTTGACGAAAAATTTCTAGATTCACAGAAAGGAACCCTCTAAACACCATTATCTAAAACAACACGAAAGAAAAAAATATGACAAGAGTAAAAAACATAAATCTTCATAAAAATAAATGGCCGTAAACTACAACTAAATATGACAAGCCAAAATTCATCCACAAACATATAAATCTCTATACCTATAGTTCATATAATATTTAAAATTGAAGGGCCAAATAGAAAACCAAGAAATACATACGAGAGAGATGATATTCGATGATCGACTGAAGAGGAAAAGTTCTTTCAGAAAGCTTCAATAACCTACAAACAAAAATTAAAAATAAATCTCATCAAGATCTCGAGAGTACACGTCATATAACAATACAAACAAATTCAACCCTAGAAATAAATTAAACTAAAATGTCATCAAGATCTCAAGATTAGCCATGAATCATAGTATGATACAATAAAATAATACAAACAAAATCAAACTCCAGGTATTAAAACGAAAGGAATTCGGGGAAAAAAACTTACAGATTAATGCGATGAAGTTGAATGTGATCGAAAAGAAATCCCGAATTTGAGAGCTCTCGACCGAATGTCGAATGAGAATATTGAGAGAATTTTATAGGAAAATCTGAACGGTTATTGATTTGAGAAGCAGCGGATAATTGGGAGATTGGATGGAAGAGGCAGCTTTTTATAGGACGAAGAACGAAGGAAGCGTGTAGACGTCTAGTAGGATAGTCCGCCACTTTCACCAATAAATATTGGCCATAAATATAATCAACAAATTTTATAAAAAAATGCGAAATTTTAGGCATGGTCGGTTTGCCGTTTTCGACCCATTTTCCGTTTTCGAAAACGCGGAAAACACGTTTGGTCTGACATTTTCGAAAACGTCTTTTCGAAAACGAGTTAAAATTTATAATTGAAAACGCAAAACGACTTTTTATCATTTTCAGTTATAAATGTCGAAAACGCTCAAAACAGGTCGTTTTCGGGGAAAATTAAAAATCGTTTTGAAAATGAAAACGCAAACCAACCACTACCTTAGTGTTTTTATTTAAAAAGAAAAGAAAAACATATATTATCGAAATTTTAGGTTATAACTTGAATGCACGGTTGAGATTTTGGGTTTGGTTGGTTGGTGATAAAAAAAAAATAAAAAAAAATAAAAATTTGTGAGTGATAGCTGGATTTCATTTGACGGGCTCGTAGGCCCTCAATTTTTGCATGGCTGCTTTTAGATTCGGACCCACCTCTTACATATTCACCGCAAAAATAAAACGAACTTTAAACTATGGAAAGTTATAGATGCATCCTCCATATTTGAAAATTTTTCCTCTTATCAGATACACTATTTAGTTTATGCTAAAAGACAGCCAACAAAATAATGTAAAATTGACACTCACTTTCCATTGAAATAATCAATTATGATTTGAAAATTTAGAAGTTGTAAGATAAAGATGTCGATGTATGCACGATCTTTGTCTCTTTAGACTTTATTTTATTACTAGACAACAGAAGATTTATTTGATATTATCTTAAATTATTCTCATTTATCTAAAAGGGAATATAATTATAGATTTTGTTAGCCACATATGTTCTTTTATGTACAATAATTATAATTAATAAATGATCACTAAAGGATGATTAGCATACACAAAAAGGTTGAAGGGAAATTGCAACATTAGTACAAAATGTATCGATGGCGTTGGAACGTGGTCCTTTATTTATTTTCTTTCTCAGAAATGTCTCTAACCTTTTAGGTTTCTACTTCGACAATAAAAAACCTTTTTTTTTGTTCAAAACACGACAATAATCTCATTTTTAAGTTTCCTCTATCCACCTCTCACATCCACGTTTGCTCCCCAACCCCCTTGCCCCATCCCAAGACCCCAGTACTCACAGTGCTTGGAGTTGCGGACTCTATATAAGGCTCAAAAGGCAGTCATCTCATGCCCATAATTTTTAAGGGTAAAAAAATCTGTTAATTTTTTTTAATTTATTAAGAAACTAGGTTCTACCCTTGCAATTACATAAAAAAAATAGAAAAATGACACATTTCCAACTTAATATAAGACTCGAGTACTGCTTAAAAAATCCTAAAATACCATATTTAAATAAAGATACCCGATTTTTGAAAATGTGCTTCTAATCCGTCCAATAAAACCCAACAAGACGACAAAATCACTATATTCATGCTAATGATAACAAATATTAAAAAAAAAAAAAAAAAGGTTGAAGACTAAATTGCTACAACGAGAATAAGTTGGCAACTAAAGTTTAAAATTTACCTAAATTGTTGGGCAAACAGATCTTGAAAAGAAAAGAAATAGATTGCTTGATAAGATTGGTCTTTTGTTAGGTTATTCACATTTCATAATCAATATTCAATGTACCAATCCAAAGGGGCCAATTTTGTGTCCATTGCAGCTTAATCTTATTAGAAAATCATGAGTGGACATAGTGATTTCCTGTCTGCTATAGAATCTCATATTAAAATTTTAAGAGCCGCCTAACGTATTTAACTATCAATGCACACCTGGATCGTGATTATATGAAGTGGCGCTAGAAAGATTAAAAGTTAGATTAGACCAGGTACCTTTACACGTAAATCAAATTTAAATGTAAATTCGCTTTTCTACTAAATTGATATTGACTTAATTTTTAATTATAATTAAACATATTTATAATATTATATAAAAAAAGGCAAGATCACAAAAAAAACAAAAACAAAAAAAATCAGATTAAAAGATAAATATTTTGTAACTTATTAAGCCAATATACTTACTTCATTATTTAGCTCTTGTTTGATTTAGATAAAGTGTCGTGGGCTCATAAAATGTGTTAACTTAAATTTAAATCCACTTTTGTAGTTGAACCAAGCAGATTTATGTATACTATAAAAAATGCCGTGCAACATCAGTTGTTGATCATCGCATAATAGCAAGAGAAAATTACCTAAAATCCTACATTTTAATTTTAACTTAAAAAATCAGACGTTTGTAAATTCCAAATCTAATTTAATTATTTTTTCAATTATTACGTAATAATTATTATATAATTTTTTTTATAACTTTTATATCTGGTATTTCTCTCTAGTTAATCTCTCTACTTTATTTCTCTATTCACACTCTCTATCACCGATCTCTCTCTCTATTCACTCTCTCTTTCTATGTACACCAAGATCTATATACTACTTGTCAGCTTCAAAAACTAAATTACAATCATGCAAATCTGTATAATTTAATGGGGTAGTTGGTTTCTTGTTCATTGGTCTAAAAAGCAAGGTCAATTGAATCTGAGAAAAACGAGTTAGGGATGACAAAAATACTCATCAAATTTGATAGGTCCTGCTTAATCGAGTAATTGGGGAGAGTATAAGTAACAAGGGCTTGCCTTAAAATGAGTAACGGGGTGGGTCGCCCCTCTCCAAACTCTCCCCCTTGCCGACCCTGAAATGGGCCTTTTTTTAAGGTGAACTCGTGTTAGATCTTCAGTTGGCAATGGTTCTATGCTGCAATTTGGTGATTTAGGGTGGTCAGCCATTGGTTCTGCCTATGATTACGCTCGACTAGGTGTATGATGTAGGGGTTTTGTGGAGATGGTGTGGCAGAGGTGGTAGTGGTTGTTGTGGATTTTAAGGAAAAAGTGGTGGTGGATAGTTGATTTGATGTGTCATCGGTGGTGTAGTTAGGGCTGGACAAAACTCCCGAACCGAACCCGACGGTTCTTCTCAAATTAAATACCCAAACGGGTATTTGAATCAAAAATCGACGGGTACGGTTCGATTCGGCCAAGACCCGAAGAACCGAATCTCCTTAATTTTTTTAATTTATTTATTTTAAATAAGCAAAATTATTTTATTTTTTCTAAATAAATTTGTTAACTAGTGAATTTAATTCAAACCACAAAATATGATTTTTGTATTTATAATTTTTAGTTCAAAATCAACTTAATCAAATTGACATCAATTTTATCTAAATCTGTTACTCTACTGTAGTGTCGATTTTACTAGAGAAAATCGAATTAAAGCTCTACAACATCTCTCTTAATTATTTTGAGCTCGCTATTCTTCTTTTTCTGTGATTTTAATAATCAAATTTATGAAGAATTCAGCAAAGAGAGACGTAAAAGACATATAAAATTGTACTACGTTATTTTGTAAGAGCTAATATTAAACATATCATTAATAAAATTAATGTAACTTTGTATATATTAAAAAATTTAATTATAATACAGAACCGAATAGAATCGCACCGAACCGAACCGAATGAAACTAAACACAAACGGTTCCATAATTAAATTTGGACCTGACGGTTCAACTTACTAAATACCCGAAAATTTCGAATCGATTCGGCTCTCGTTAGAACCGAACCGAACCTGACCATGTCCAGCCCTAGGTATAGTGAGACAGGGAGATGAAGAGTAACTTGTGATCACATAATTTGGTAACTTGTG